AATGAGCACTTCTTCAGCTTTCTTGATGCCAAATGGTTATAAATAATTTGAATGCAAAGTATTTTCTTCCTGTACGTTAGTTATGTGTGATTCCATAATTGTGTTGCTTTACTTCTTGACTTATTTTATTGCACCTAAAATCTCTTATTTAACCTCAGTTCTATTGCCTTATTATCTTGTCTTTCTTTCTTCCTTCCTTTCTTTCTTTCTTTCTTTAAGACTGTATTTTATTTATTTGAGAGAGAAAGAGAGAGAGAGATCACAAGTAGGCAGAGAGACAGGCAGAGGGAAAGGGGGAAACAGGCTCCCTGCTGAGCAGAGAGCCCGATGTAGAGCTCGATCCCAGGACCCTGAGATCATGACCTGAGCTGAAAGCAGAGGCTTAACCCACTGAGACACCCAGGCACCCCCATCTTGTCTTTAAACTCTTGTTGAATTTCAGCTGTGTTCTCTTTGACTGATATATTTCTCTATACTTTCTCATTTGATTTGATCCTGAAATGACACTGAAGAGATTGGTGCTATTATTATTTTTCTCATTTTATAGGTGAATAAAAGGACTTCCAAGAAATTTTGTGTCTTGGCCACAGTCATACGGGTAGTAGGTAGAGAATCCAACACCAGCACCCAAGCCTGTCACCTCCAAAACACTTGCTCTTCCCTCCTCTTTGAGGCAGAATATAATTAAATACTCCCATATAGTTTAGCTTCGAAGCCCAAGTAAGCTTCCATACTGAGCAGGCAAATAAGCAACACATATTTAACACATGTAACTCAATGAAAAGCCCCCTAAGTGAGACAAGAATGGCAGGGTACCAAGTGAAATTATTACCCTCTCTATCCTGGAAGTTATAGTGATACTAAAGGGACGAATTCTGCCACTACCACAACCAAAGGGTGTGCGTGTGTGTGCAGCATGTGCGTGTGTGCACGTGCACATGGGTGTGCCTGCATGGTGTGTATGTGTGTGTGTGTATGTGCACAGCTTAAGCAACTAATACAAGTGACAGAACTGCTGATGGGTTTTGAAACCAATGTCATTCCAAGGAGACAGGAGCAAAACAACACGTGGGTTTGCTTGTACCTTGATGGTGTCCGAGGAGACGAGCTGTTAGTGGAGCCTCCCTCTTTCCTGAACTCTTAGAGAAGGACTAGGTCACACAGGGAGAATCTGTACAGCAGTGAACCTGGTGCACGACAGAGCCTGCCTCTGGTTAGCAGCCCTTTTTCAGCATGTGCAGGGATATATTGAGGCTCATTTTTTCCACCGGAAAGGATAGTTCTACTGAGTTTCAGTTTTGGAAGAATGGTGTACGAAATGGCAGGCTAGCACAAAATTATGTGTGCTGAGAATGTTGGTAGCCAAAAGTGAAGGAAGGCAGCAATGTTGCCTCAGAGAATAGAGTATCTGATATCCAGAATTAGCTATTCTCATGGCTTAGACCTATTATTTGTTGAGTATATGTCCTTTTCTCAGACATCTTTGTCAAAGAATTATATTCAAACTTAGGATTATCAAATGAACTCCTTTCCTTGTTTCCCAAAGATTGTTCTGCAGGAGATAAATTAATGTTCAGTGAAAAAAGAACTGCAAAGCAACCAGATAAGACTGCTTGTCTTTGATTTAACCAAGCCAAACAGTTTTCTTTTCTGTAAAATTCTTCAAAGCAATTAATATGCTAATGGATTCTGAATTTGTAAATGGGATATATATTATAGAGGAATTCCAAAATTATTTGATCATGAAGCTCCTATGTTCACGGACTCCAGGAATATATTTGGGTGGAAATTTGGCTTTCTTCCAATCATAAAATATGAGTACTTGAAGTAGTCTTAGAACAACTCCAGTTTTAAACTTTAATTTTGCAAGGAGGGAGACCAAAATTTATAGGGTTTAAGTGACTTTCCCAAGGTCACCCAGCTCTTTGGTGGTAAAGGCAGAACTAAAATTCCTATATTCAGATTCCTGATCTAGTGTTCTTTGAATGTGGCCCACAGTAAATGAAGTCATGTGATGCAGTGACTTACAACCAGGCCTATGTGTCCACTTCCAAAAACGTGGTATTTCCTTCTTTGCCAGTGAAAATAATGAGGCTCAGAATTCTTTCCTTTGAATCTCAAGTTGCCCTTCTGACAGCTCACACAATCCTCTCTCCAAAGCCTTGTTATATCTCTGACATTCCTGAGGATTCAGTTGCCTAGGATTATTTTCTGTAAATTAGCCATATAGGGTAATACCACGCTCACTTGGATGTCCTTTCATATTGGTCTCTCCAGCAAAACTTAGAAAAGCTCCCCTTCCAGCATTCTGGTCCAAGCAGATGAGTAGTTTTATACACCAACAAGTAGACTGTCTCATACCCCACAAACAGAATTTAGGAGGAGCTTAAAATCTAGACGTGGAATCCCTTTATGGTAGTCCGTGGAGCAGTGTGTATCAGAAATCTTTCCAGTTTCCATCCTCTTTAAATTTGAAGGAAACAATGCAAAGTATGCTTCCATATTTAACTACAATGTTTGTCAATGCACTGTTGTCATAATGAAAAATTTAATATAACCAGATTGTTCAATAACATGGTGTTGATTAAATGAATCAAGATATTTTTATGAAATACTATATAGCTGGTAGAAATTTTGTTGTAAAAAACTTTATGGAATGATATTTACTACAGAACTTCCTAAGAGGTATGCCAGGACTAAGATACCAATGTCCCTTTTCCCCGTGGGAGCTACTCAGGATCTACTGTGGCCTGAACCCCCAGCGCAAATATCTCAAGCTGACAAACTAATGTTTTTATAAACAGAGATATACTCGCATGTCTGCTGGGGCATATACTTTGCCTACATCTGGATAGGGCAATATAAATGATCTTTATTTTCATGTTTTTGCTCATCTGCATTTCTCTTTTTTAGTTAATGGTACTATTGTTTTTTAAAGATTTTATTTATTTATTTGTCAGAGAGAGAGAGAGAGAGAGATAGAGAAAGCCAGCGGGAGAACACAAGCAGGCAGAGCTGCAGGCAGAGGCAGAGGCAGAGAGAGAAGCAGGCTCCCCACTGAGCAAGGAGCCCGATGCGGGACTCGATCCCAGGACCCTGGGATCATGACCTGAGCTGAAGGCAGCGGCCCAACGAACTGAGCCACCCAGGCGTCCCTAATGGTACTATTTAATAAAAATAAGAGAGAGTAATAATAATTTTAACACTTACATAGTCCTTAATATGCTTTGTCTTGTTTTTTTTTCCCCCTCTCAAGGAGGTCTATGAAGTAGGCACTACTATTATTCTTTTTATTATATAAGGGTTATTTTTAAATTCCATATTGGAAGCTATTAAGAACTGGACAAGTTGATGCAGGCAGAAAGGAGAAGGTGGAAATGGGACATATCTGGAAGATAGAAATAAGAAAACATAGTCACTGATTGTCTGTGGGAAGCAACTCTGCCCCCAGGATATTGAGGATTATCATATTCGTGACCAAAAAGGAATTCAAGGAAATAAAAGATTGTATAGAAGTTTTAAGAAAGCCAAGGGGAATGGTTAGTTTTCTAGAAGAAGCTGAGGTGGGCTCCTTACTTGTTGATATTGAGATGAAAAAGTGTGGTGGTGGAAAAGTCCGGTGATAATGGAGCTCAGGTGAGTCAGAGAACCAAAGGCTGTAGTTGGGCACCTATCCACGCTGGAGCCCCAGCAGAGCTGTGCCAATGAGTGGATCCTCCTGAGAACAGAATGTGCAGAGAAGAGCAGGGCACCAAAAGCTTTAACCTTTAGGCTTTGTCTCCATAGTGGAGAACCCCACCAGCCCCATGAACTAGACCTCCTTGAGTGGGAAGATGATAGAGCAGAATTCTGGGAGTCTTTGGGCAAGGGTCAAGGTTGACAGTGGATGACATGTTCAAACACTGTTCTTCCATTGTTTTTCCTTAGATCAGAGATTAATGTGTTTCTTTTTTAAAAAGCATAAATAGAAAAGACATTTAATAAGCTTGTGGGGCATGGGATGGTAAGGAGCACCCTAGCAGGAGGGGCTCAAAGTGAAAAGAACCCTAGCTCTGTGAAGAAGTGATCAGAAATGGAAAAGATACAACTGACTCATGACAAATGCGTGGCGTGCTGCGTTTATGATGAAGAAAGGGATTGAGTTATGAAAATGCAAAATGGAAGGTCTCTGTGTGTAAATACAACGAGCAAACCTCTAGGAGTCTCAGGGAGCCACAGCTCAAACAGAGTGCTCTGGGTATATTTATGCTGGTGCATTCAAGAGGCTTATTAGGAAATATGTTTTTCTGGCAGTAGAAAGACATAAATGTAATAATGCAATCTCTTTCTCATATTTGGCATTAAGAAGAAATATATTAGAAATACAATAAATACTTATCTCTTCAAAGTCCCAGTTTTAAGGGAATTCAAAATTATTAAATAGAATGCAGAGGACATCAAAGAAAAATTAGTACATAACTGTAAAATGTACTTCTAAAGAAAAATAAATGAACATGCTATTATTTATTTTTGGAATCAAAAGACCAAAGGATAATTTAATGAGGATCAGGATCATTAATTTTGCACGATTACTGTCCAGTGCTTTTTGGCATCTTCGTTCCAGGGAGGATGATGGGAAATAAACAGAAACCTTTAATTTAAAAAACAGTTCCCCAACACTGCATGCACATATATATGCACACACACATGCACACACACACGTGTATGTTTGTGTAAAGAGTCTGGAGGGGTAGACATCAAAGTATCAAAAGTTATTATTTGTATGGGGTACAGTTATGGATGTTTTTGTATCTTTCATATGTGTATCTTCTAAATTATCTGTAGTCAACATGAAATATGTGGACAATAAGAAAAATCAGGTTATTTTTTAAGGCATTTTAGAGACATAGATATGTCACTTCCCTCTCCTCCCTATCACTATGTCAACCCTCAATCTGTAAAACTGATTGTTTTGCAAGAGTCTGTGTGACAGTCCTGATCCCCTGTTTTATCTTCTTCAGATGCTGGTGAAAAATAACCACCTCTCCGACAAGATCATTGTTGTGCCAGGGAAAATTGAAGACATCTCTCTTCCTGAGGCTGTGGATGTGATCATTTCCGAACCGATGGGATACATGCTCTTCAATGAAAGGATGCTGGAGAGTTACCTTCATTCCAAAAAATGGCTGAAAGCGAATGGTGAGTAGGCCAATTCCTGGTTCAGAAGAGTTTGCCCTCCTCCTTTCCCCATATTTAATTTTGGATGGAAAGGAAGACAGGGCATTTCTGTTGTACCATTTTTTAAAATTTTCTCATCTTAATCTTTCACAATAGATGAGCTAGTCTCCAGCCATGAAGCCGTAGGTGTGGGTTGTGTGCTGCATGATATTAAATATGGTACAGAGGACCAGTTCAGAGCTATGTGTTTCTGTCCCATTTCTATCACTGTCTTCCTCAATGAACTTCACCTACCACTTGACCTGTTGACTTTGGTTTTCTCATCTGGATTTTAAAAATAATCTCTAAGAAAAGTGATCTCTCAAGCCCCTTTAAGTGTTGGCTTTCTATAACATGAGAAACTCTCTGAGACCTGCTCATTCTTTCCGACGTATTCCTCTCCTACCATGTCTCCCTTTCCCTATGATCAGTACATGTACTTGATCAGTACATATACATATACATCAGTACATATCCAATATTCTTTTTGTGCTTTTCAAGTATCTACATGTGCTAAGCAATCTGCATACATTAATTTGTGGAAACCTTCCCAAGGGTGAGTGATGGAGGTTTTTAATATATTTGGAAGGTCAGTCCTGAGGTTCTTGGTGATGTTACATTCCTTCCACAGGGGACATTTGGCAGTGTCTGGAGACATTTTGGGTTATCACAGTGCAGGAGGGGTAATATTGTCATCCAGTGGGAAAAGCCAGGTGTGCTGATAAACATCCTTCGGGGTACAAGACAGACCCTTACCCCATCCAAGAGTTATCCAGCCCCAGAAATCAACAGTACCAAGACTGAGACCTGACTTCCCTGGAGGCACTATTCCCACCCCCAGTTTACGAAGGGAAAATTGAGGCACAGCAGGAGAAAACAACTTGGCAAGGACACACCTCTGGTAAATGACAGAGCAGGGATTTGAACCCAGGTCTGTCTGACCCTGAAGGCCACAATCCTGACTCCTGCACACACACACACACACACTCACACACACACACACACACACACTATCTTTCCACCCCTTACTAGGGTGAGGGGACACATTTTCACAGAATGGTTTTTCAAGTAAAACACAGAAAGTAATTGGTCAGTTTTAAAAGTGGCAGCTCCCATTAGAATTGTGGCACCTTACCCAGGATGTGTCTCCCCGCCTTGGTAGCCAGCGGGGACAAAACGGTGACCACCAGGGCAGCTCTGATTCAGCACATCAGGCAGTATACGCACAGCAGTGCGGGCAGGTAAGGAAAGCTTGAGGCTCGTCCATAATTCCCTGCGTGCTTCAGAATATAGGGGTTCAGAGATAGACTCTTGAAAAAAACCTCATGCAAAAATAAATAAATAGACAAAATGTGTTTAATGTCAGAAACTGCATTCGCATGCCAGTGGTGAAACAGCCCAGGATGGTCTCGGAAGCTTTGTGTTTATGCAACGAAATTGAACTGTGGAAGTGAGATAATAAAGGACCAGCCTGCTTGGATTTCCTACTCAGTGCCCATCAGAAGGAATTTTTATAATTTTGTCTGGACTTTTTTTTTTTTTTCCAAAATGTCTAGGTACTTGGCTGTTGGTGAGATTCTGAACATGCTTAATTCATGTGCATCTGTGGGGCACCTCCAGACTGAATATCGAGGCTTAATATCGGCCACTCCTTCCCCTCCCAAATATTTGTAATAGTTATGAAACTTTTACTGGGCTGTGTATCTTTAACCAGACGAGGAGAAATGAATACTGATTTTATCTTCTTTTTAACCCGTGTGTTCCTGAGGGCAAGAGGCTTGATTTTTTCTAGTTCTTTTTTTTTAAAGATCTTATTTATTTATTTGTCAGAGAGAGAGAGAGAGAGAGAGAGAGAGTGAGCATAAGCTGAGGGAGCAACAGACAGAGAGGGGCTGGATCCCAGGACACTGGGATCCTGACCTGAGCCGAAGGCACACACCCAACCAACTGAGCCACCCAGGCGTCCCTATTTTTTCTAGTTATTTTTATTTTCCACCAAAATAAGATGTAATTTACAATACCAAATAATGACAGAAAGACTTCTAATGAAAAATAGTAACCCCGTTTTGCCCCAGCTCTCCCTGTCCTGAGACTACTACACTCACTGAAGGCTTTCCCTCTCCCTTCCATTTGGGACTTCTTCCCCTTACTTACCTGCATACTTTGATACAAAATTATCATACTGCTATTTTCGTTACTCTCTGGTTGAGAAATGTGCTCTCCTACATAGCATTTTCTTCTCTGCTGGGTGTACTCTCCTTCCCCGCCCCTCTCTTCTCAATATATTCATGCAGGTCCTCAATTCCCTTGCCAGACCCTGGAGGCCAGGTAGATTTCCGAATCGAGAATCTGAAGGACTTGGGAAAGGTGATAGACTCCTATGCTGCGGATTGCTTAATGCCTGCAGTGGAGTCCGAGGCCACACCGTGTGATGAAACACATTGTATTTCTGCAACAAACCATATGAATATGGATACCAAAGGGGATAAATAAAGACTGTAAATAAACTCATGTCAGTTCAGGTTAGATTTTGCCATCAGATGATGTTGCTGCAAATGTGCCAAAAACTGTAACTTCTCAGGGCTCTCGGGACCCAATTGAATATAAAGAAATACGGACCAAGATCATCATTTGGTCGAATCCGTAATCAGTGCTTAGGTTATTATGACAATGTACATATTGTTCCGAGCTGAGCCAGGTAGCAAAGTCGGTGCATAAGATTTTCGATTTTCTCATGAAACCTTTTGTTTTTCTTGGAGTTAGTTTTCACTAGCTTGGTTTTTGATATGCTTGTGACTAATTATTTCCATGCTCTAAGGAGTCTAACAGATCCTATCAATATTTAGTCAGTAGGAGCCTTCCTCCTGTGGATGCTCTATTCTCCTCTCCCCCACGTGCCGTGGTTCTTCTCTAGCTCCGCCTCACGCCCGCCATATTTGACTTCCCATCATAATTCTCTTATAGTCTTCTCTCTGTGTCCTCTTCATCTGTGGCCTCACAAATGAGGCTCCGCCCCTGGATTGGCCCTTCTACTTACTAGCTCTATGACTGTGGCTGAGTCACTTCAAGTTCCCTGTTCCTTAGCTTTTGGAGAAAAAGTACTTGAGAAGTTAACTTTTTATGGACTCTTTGTATTACCATTTTGCAGGGTAGAGAATTTGAACTTGGATGCAATTTTTAATCAGTATTTTTAAGACCTCTGTCTTTGGTTTCTGGTTTCCAGTGTTGCCGTTGAGTGGCCCAGTGGCCTTCTGACTCCTGATCCTTTAGAGTGACAGCATTTTCCCCTCTGAATGCTTTCAGTATATTGATTTATTTCTAGCTTTACTGTGAAGCTTTTAAAATTCTTGTGTTGGATATGGAGTGAGAATGTTTAATCAGAAGATTCCTCTTCTTCAACTATGAGAATTTCTCTTGTATTTTTACCTTTGATACCTCCTCCCCTCCATTTTAGATCCTTGGAATTCCCGTTAGGCTTGAGGCTCAGAGCACCTCGGAAACTTCCCACGTTTACACAAATACTGATACATATTGCTTTCCTAAGATTGTTTAATATCCTTCTGTTTTAAAATTAAGAACCCACTAGGCAGTCATTATTGTTTTGAAACCCGTGCATGAGATTCAGGTGGGCACATGTGAATGTTGTTAACAATCTTGCTTTTTTCTCCATTTTTGAAAATACCCTAAACAGTCTGTTCTGGGTGTTCTACCTACTAGAAGTTCAGTTAGTTGAGTGTTTGAGGCTTTGCCTCCAGCTCAGGTCATGGTCCCAGGGTCCCAGGGTTGAGGCCCGCGTGGGGCTCACTGCTGAGTGGGGTCTGCTTCTCCCTTTATCCCTCCCCACCCCCCGCTTGTGCTCTCTCTCTCTCAAATAAATAAATAAAATCTTTAAAAAGAAAAACAGCCACGGGGTGCCTGGGTGGCTCAGTGGGTTAAAGCCTCTGCCTTCAGCTCAGGTCATGATCCCAGGGTCCTGGGATTGAGCCCCGCATGGGGCTCTCTGCTCAGCAGGGAGCCTGCTTCTTCCCCTCCCCTCTCTCTACCTGCCTCTCTGCCTACTTGTGATCTCTGTCAAATAAATAAATAAAATCTTTTTTTAAAAAAAGGAAAACAGCCAATCTGTTCTATTTAAACAGGCATCGAAGGGAGCATAGTTAGTGTGTGGGCTGTGGCCTCACAGATGAGGCTCCGCCTCTGGATTTGCCCTTCTACTTCCTAGCTCTATGACTATGGCTGAGTCACTTCAAGTTCCCTGTTTCTTAGTTTACCCATTTGTAAAGTGGGGGTGTAATAATAGAACTTACTGTATTTTGTGATGAGGATTAAATGAATCAATACGGGAAAACCCATAGAAAAGAACATGGCAAAATCAACATAATCAAGAAATTTTAGGTATTACTTTTGTGACAGCACCTCCAGTTTCCAAGGCGATACTCACTTCTGAAGTAGGGTTAGTAGTTCATCTTTCTTTTATGTGCCGGATCATTAAAGGCTATGAGAAAGAGTCTCCCTGGAAATGACAAGAATAATAACATTGATTGCTGTGTTGGCCCTCTTGGGAACGCTGAGCTTCAGGCATGCCCGGCTAGGTGTTTGTCTGCCCACTACGGAACCTGCCTTTCCTTCCCCCTGGTGACTGTGAAGGTCAGGAACAGCAAACAAGAGTGGGTGTCCCAGTGAGGAGGATGGCGACCCCCCCCCAGAGAAGCAGAGCTTCCAACAACACTGAAAAAGACCATCAACATGATTACACATGGACAGAGTCTGAGAATGGAAATGGTAATGGGATAGAATGATCAGAGGTGAATTATATTCAGAGCTGTTTTTACAATAAATAGGATTTTTAAAAAATGAAGACAGTGTGCAGAATTCCCAGCCCAGGGCGTACAGAAAGGAAAAAGCTGACAGCAGAAAAGGCAGGACGCCGGGTTAAATGCCTTTCCTAAGACTCTGCAAGCTTTTATCATAACATAGCTTTGTGACTGCGTTAGGATTCTTCTTATTTTTCCTCCAATCTTCTGCCTAATTTTTTTAATCCTTGCTTTGAGGCAAAATTGTATTTCAGCCTCTTGGGTAATAACTGAAATAGGGCGAAAGAGTGGCGTTGGTCCGGTGGTGGGTGAGTGTCCCCTGCAGTCAGAAGGCGGTGCGCGTCAACGTCTGGGTCTGTTGTCTCTTGCTCATTAGGAATGATGTTCCCGACATTCAGCGACATCCACTTGGCCCCCTTTTCTGACGAACAGCTCTACGTGGAACACTACTCCAGAGCCAACTTTTGGTAATGTTCTCTTCTCTCTTCCATTCTCTTTCCTTTAGAGTAAGCCAGAGTTTCTGGTTTGGGTTTGCCGTCTGGGGTTATATAAATGGCAGGGTGTGGGGGTGGGGTGCCGTGCACTGTGGGATGTTCAGCCGGACCCCTGGCTGCTACCTACTAGATGCCAGTAGTGCCTTTCCCCTAGTTGTGACCACCAAAAATGTCTCCAGATACTGCCGAATGTCCTCAGCAGGGGAAGGGGGCATAAAGTCATCCCCTGTTGAGAACCCCTAGAGAGGACAAACCCGGGAGCTCCTTAGCAGGTGGCCTATAGCTGGAACGACAGCATCCTCCCCCTACTGCGGCCCCTCCTTTCCCCCTTTCCGTTATCCATTCCCTGGGCTCAGGGCCGCAGCTTCTGCTAGAAGGGACCTTGGTCAGAGGACAAGGCAATCAGTACATCTCAAGGTAAATGAGTCGATCAAAACATTTTTCTTGGAGTTTTGGCACTAATGGGCTCTTGGCTTTTGGACATTTCACTTCACCTTTATAGACTTGGTTTCTTCATTTGGAGAATGAGAACTAATACAAAACAACTGGTTCTAAGCCAGCATTCCGTCTGGCATTGTTTTTTGAGCACTGGTTTTTGTAAGGAGAAAGAGGGAAAGAGAACGATGATATTGGACCCATGGGAGGGAGGAACAGAACAGACAGCATCCAAGTGGGAATGTTAGGTGTGTAGGAGGACAGGCATGTGCTGGCAGATGGGTGGGGAGGGATGCTAAAATGTAGGCTCTGAGTTCCAGCTGACGTACGCATAACCTTCCAACACGCAGATAGCCACAGCGCATTTCTGGTTTTTTTCTCTTTGTAATCCTGCCTCTTGGTGAAGAAGCATCCAAAATGTACTTTGGTTTCCCAGGCTACAAGTTCCTTGAAGAGTAGGGTCAAAGGGCTAAAATTTATTCTTCCTCTCTGATTTTTTTTTTTTCTTGTAAAATAGGCTTTCCTAGCACAGATTTGCATTTCATGGTTTCTGCTCAGTCTGTAATTTTGAAACTCCCAAGCCACATGCTTCCTAATGGGGGTGAAAGCCTCTTGGTGTGTGATGGGGGGCACCTTAATTATGATCATTGTTCTCTGAGGTCATGCTGACCCAGAATGTTTATATTTTAACCATAAACTTCCTGAGTCGGTGACGAGGTTGGAGAGGCAGGGATTCCAGGTAGAAGAATCGACCAGATTACTTCTCCCAATGGGACAGCAGGGGAGCGCGTTGTCCTGGCAGTGCTCGCGTGACTTCCCAGCTGTACCATCTGCTGCCATCTTGGTACCTTGAGAACGAATGTTAATGATCACAGTGGATTGGCTAGGCTCACCATCAGCATACAAACACTGCTATTTATTCCATCTCAAAAGAAAAAATAACCTTTTTTTATCTCTCACTTCCCCAGTTAACCACCACCCATCTCTCTTAGTCCCTTTGCTGCAAAATTCCTCAAAAAGCATTCTATCCTCCTAGTCTCCAAGACTTTCCTTCAGTTTCTCTCTTAAGACATTTCTCCATGATGGCTCTTACCAAGGCCACCAGTGTGCTGACCTCCACGTTTCTAAACAGTGTCCATCCTCCCTTGTCTGCTTATTGAACCCAGTACCCTTATTTGAGCAGCATTTGAAATGCTGTGCAATCTTTTAATTTCTCTTCTGCCTCACTGGTCACTTTTTCAACAAATCCTTCATTGGTTGTTGCTTGTCTCCTTCACCTGCTGATGTGGGAGCGCCCCAGGACACAGTCTTGGACCTCCTCTTTGTCCATTTATTGCCTTGGTGAGCTCACCCATTCCTTAGCTTCAGATGCCAGCTATATGCTAATGATTCCCAAGGATATTGTCATCTAGCTCACACATGTCCTGGGAACTCCATGTTTTTATACCCAGTGGCCTCTTGGACATTCCCCCTTACAGAGACTTACCATCCAAACTCAACACCTCATCTCCCCCAAATCCCCCCATCCCAAATCTGCTCTACTCATAGTCTTTCCATCTCACTTGATGATAACACTGTCCTCTGAGTCATTCAGGCCCAAAACCATTGAGGCCCTTTTTTCTTTGTCCCCATATCTAAACCATCAAGAAATTCTGTTGGCTCTACTTTTGAACTCTACCCAGAATCTGTCCTATTCTCATTATATTCTCTGTTCTCCCTTGTTCCTAACACTGTCATCCCTCATCTTGATTACTGCTATAGCTTCTTAACCTGTCTGTTCCCAGCATTCCCAAAGCCTTCTGGTAAATTCTGTCTGGTCTGGTTTCTCTTTTCCTATGACCGTGTTCATTCAACTCCAGCCACATAGGCGTCCTTGCTGATTTTCAGGCATATGCAACCACCTCAGAGCCTTTGCTTTTGCTCATCTTTCTATGTGGAGCACTTTTCTCCCAATATTCACATGGCTGATCCCTTCACCTCCAAAAAGTCTGCCAAAATGCCAGCTCTCCTGGGCATCCTGTTTAAAATGGTAGCCACAGCACTCGCCATCCCAGTCCCACTTTTTCTGCTTTGTGTTTTTGCTTTAGCACTTACCACTTCCCAAGAGACATATAATCCCTTTATTTATTATTGTTCATTGTCAGCATCCTTCCTGATTGCATGTAAGCACCACGAAAGCCCAGGTTCTGTCAGATTTCACTAATGTATCCTAAGCACCCTCCATCCCAAGTGCCTGTCACATAGCAGATGCTCAATAAATATTTTTGAATGGGTAAAAACTCTAGTAATCTCAAGTAAGTACACCAGTAATTACTATTAAGAGGTTAGGTGTCTTCTCTTTGATTTAAAAAAAATTTTTTTTACAAAGTTAGGATAATACCATAAATCTCATTTTGTAGCTCTTTTACTTTTTAAATTTTTAAAAAATTTTTAAATTTATTTTCAGCATAACAGTATTCATTGTTTTTGCACCACACCCAGTGCTCCATGCAATCCGTGCCCTCTCCAGTACCCACCGCCTGGTTCCCCCAACCTCCCACCCCCCACCCCTTCAAAACCCTCAGATTTTGTTTTGATTTCAATACCTTGTTGATATGTTCTCATATCTTCACAATATTCTCTTGCTGCAGAGTATTTCTTTTGTGACAATATCATAATTCATCAGCTTGAGCTCCAGTGCTAAATATTATTTTAATTGCTTATTTAATCCTATAAATTTTACAAGAAACAACGCTAAGGTATTGTTTCTATATTCTAGCAGAATATAGAATATTATAAAATTTTGTATCCTAAATTCCGTAAGAACACTAAAGTGAGCATCCTTTTATAGAAATCATGGTTTGCATTCTGATTATTTCCTTACAATAAATTGCTAGAAGCAGAATTACTGGACCAAAAGGTGTGAAGAAGGATCTTTAAAAAAATTATTCTTATATATTGCCAAATTGCCCTGTAGAAAAGTTTTACCAATTAACACTTCCACCAGAAGTATATGAGAATGTCTGCTGAGTCTTGCCCATACGGGCTATGTTTTTTTAAATGCCAATTTGATTCAAAAAAAAAAAATGGTGGCCAGTTTATTTTTAATCTGTATGTCTTTGGTCGCTAGAGCATTTGAACGGTTTTATTTTTAGTCAACAAACACACAAAAAAAATGTTTTAAAAAACATATAGTTAACAAAACTCACAGCCTTCACTCTCATTGTAACTCCCCTTCCTCTATGAAGAGGTTTCTGTGTTAGGTGACTGCATGTGGGCCTTTGGTCACATTGGTGCGGGGAACAGGTGGTTAAAGTGTGCACAGTTTTTATTAGAAGAGGCAGAGAAGTGGAAATGCTGGTGGAGTAGAGGGAGAGGGATGCAAATAATGATGATGATGGTGGTGGTGGTGGCAATTTAGGTATATGCTAAAGAAGGGAGCCAAGAAGCTGAGGGATAACTGGCCAAGTCAGGGCATTAGATATAACCAGTGATCAGTCCTCACCTGACTTTGTCATCAAGGACACTTGGCCTCAGGGACTCCTCACTTCACTTCTAAAGCCTAAACCTGGTTTTCCTCCTTCCTTATCGGCCCCGACCTTGTCTCCTCCGATGATTCTTCCTCATGACCCAAGTCTTCAGTGTTGGATTGATTCCAAGTTGGCTCTTACTGTCTTCCCCTTTTTGTCTCTACTAGCCTCCTGATTGGTCTCATTGCATCTTCTGAGCTGTAAATATTGTCTTTACGCCAGCAACTCCTGTAGGGAGAACTCCAGCCTAGAACTCTCCCTGGAACCATAGACTTCAGGTGTTCAACTGGCTGTTGACATCTCTACTTGGATGTTGTCTCTTGGGCATCGTAAATTCAGCGTGTCCAAAATCAAGCTGCTAACCTTTGTCACCAACCCCTGCTCACCTCTGCAAAACACAAACACAAGCAAAACCAAAAAACCCTGCTTCTACTATAGTCCCACAAGCCTTTCAACTTATTTCCTCTTTTTAAACAGCAACCAGAATGATTTTGATAACGTATATTTCAGATCACAGTCTTCCTCTGCTCAAAACCTCCAGTGGCTTTCCACCTTCTACATCATGAAAGTCAAAGTTCTCACCAGGGGTGATAAGACCCTCCAGGATGTGATTCCACCCTGCTATCCATGTGGTGTCATCTCTTCCCACTCCTTTCTCATCCTTTCTGTCCTCACTGGGTGGTCTCCTCCGTTCTCCTTGAACCTACTGGGCTGGCTGCCACCTCACAGCCATTCCCTCTACCAGACAGGCAAGTTGGCCCCATGGCTCCCTCTCACCTTCTTCAGGTCGTAGTTTATGTGCCATCTTCCCAGGAGACCTGCTGTCAGGTACAAAATGTCATCTCTTTGCTCCTGGAAGTCTGTATCCTGCTTCTCACTTCATTTTCTCGTACTCCACTTACCATCATGCCCTGGATTATATGTTTTTACTTATTTATTTAATTTATTGTCGATCTCCTTCATGAGACAAGTTCTCTAATAGCAACTATTGTGTTTTGCACTGTGTCTGCATCATTCTAACCTAGCTAA